AGGAAGGAAGGAAGGAAGGAAGGAAGAAGAAGAAAGAAGGAAGAAGGAAGGAAGGAAGAAGGAAGAAGAAGAAAGAAGGAAGAAGAAGAAGGAAGAAGAAGAAGGAAGAAGAAGAAGGAAGAAGAAGGAAGAAGAAGATAGAAGGAAGAAGAAGGAAGAAGAAGGAAGAAGATGGAAGGAAGAAGAAGAAGAAAGAAGGAAGAAGAAGAAGAAAGAAAGAAGGAAGGAAGGAAGGAAGGAAGGAAGGAAGGAAGGAAGGAAGAAAGGAAGAAGAAAGAAGGAAGAAGAGCAGCATTTTGTACCGGAACGTTATTTCTAAGATCTGGGGATGAACTGCCAACAGGCCAGCAGATCAAATAGAGTGAAAAACACAAATCTATTTAAAAAATACAAAATAAAAAATAAATAATCTCCTTTTCAGTGTGAATGAAAACACGGTTCACTGCAATCATTTGCTACATTTTAATATGATGCTGCTTTTATGTTAAAATGATGAAACTATGCTAATGATACCGGTGCGAGTGGTGACACCTAACGGTGGTCAAATACAAAGCGGCATGGACGGTCATATTCAAACTTAGGAGCACCTTCTTCTAAAAAAAACCAACAGGAATCACCAGAGGGCGTCACCAATCCACACAATGTGCTGCATTGTGGTGTCACACAACACAAAGGTAATTCTAAGGTAAATAAAGCACAACCTGAGCAACTGCATGGAACAAACAAAGCAACTCATAACTAGTGAGGCTGAGTAACTAATAAGCTTTGAACTTCCCCTGGTGTTACAACAAAAACTCTGAGTGAACCAAATGACTCATTAATTCACTTCTGGTTTATATTTTAAGAAACACAATGTGTTATGTATGTTGAGACATTTTTGAACAGCTGATTGCTTCAGCAATCTCTCCATCGCTTTCCTTATGAATAAACATCTTGAAGGCTTGAAGGTTTAGCAGGTCTCACCGGGGTCTGGCTGAATGGCCACCGCTGCAGTGTGAGGCAGGTACTTCAGCACTTTGATCTTGGGGAAGGGAAGGTGTCCAGCAAACAGAGGCATCACCTCGATCTGGACTTTGTGGGTGGCGTTGGCCGTTATTGGCATGAGCACCATCCCTGAACTCTTCCCACACACCGCCCAGTTACTGCTGCTGTCAGCCACTGTGGACATGCATGCAAACACAACCATTAAAATTGTTTCACATTATCGAAATCAAACAGACTATTTGTTGCCTTAAATAATTTTGCCTTGTTTGTGTCTGGCCATATGCAAAAAGGAGTCTGAAGAATAGTTTGAAGAGATGCCTGGCTCTTATACATATGCACATCTGAACAAAAACAAGTCGATCTTTAAAGTGATAAATCCACCGCTTCAGCTAATATCTTGGTATTTGTGAAAAGTGATATTAACCCTTTAAGACCTACCATAGAACCAAGTCCGCCAGAGCTTATATTATAT